CAAATTGACATCACTTCCTACTTTGAGCCGTCAGTCCACTCTCTAACCGTGCAATGAGTTTGCTACCCGGTAAATACTTCGTCAGCATGTTTACTGTAATGATATATTTGTGCAGTGTTTGCGTTACAAGAGAAGGGCATTAAACTGGCGTAGGTGTTTTATTCTCAAATATAAGCAAAGTGGCTTTGTAATAAATGATGGAAATTTAAAGAACGCCCTCATTTCATGGAACGCACAAACAAGGCTTTCACGTGATCCATTGTTCCCGGTGGGTGTAATCCTGACCTTTTTAATATCCGTAAGTAGGTTCAATAGTTTTTTCGCATTTATTTCAAAATACCTATCTATTTTGAGCCAAAGTGCATGTCTTTATCAACACGCAATTCCCCGGCACACATTCTTTGTTCCCAAATTGCATGGCCAACTCACAATACCTTAAGAAATATCCTTCATTTAGCACGCTTCTGCATTAGCTGATATAAGAATGACTCTGTAGGGTGTAGTATGGTGAAATGATGTTGGTGTCGGTCGTAAAGTCAACAACAAGCGCAATTCAGCCTCCATGGTACTGCCACTAAGTTAGTCATCAGGGCTACCAGCTGCCAAATACGCCACCGATGAGCAAAACTCGATTCTGCATTGCCGTATTGTTACGCGGATGTAAAACTCACCTTGTTCCACTTGTTAGTAGTGCTCCCTTATAGCAATCACTTCGAGCAAAACAAGGCTTAAACAGCGAAATGCATGTCGAAAGTCTAGTTGAGCATTTATCTACAAATCTTTCCTAATAGTGAGCTCCACATCACATCTCAACACGCGGTCAGGAGGCGTATTGACATGCCACAGGTAGAATTTAGGATTTTGTCAATGCCTTGTGTCCACATCAGTGAAGTCGAAATTGGTCCTTCAAGAACAAGGATCATTCATTACTGTCGTGGAAGTGCAGCAGTTACAAGCACCTCGACGTTTTAAAGGCTTCCAGACTCATTACTTGATGTTTCCGAGTTGCATAAAGCACAAAAATAACTTGTGTCAGTTTACATTCAAGACAAATTTCAAAACTGTTGATCCCTAATTTTACCATTTAAATAGAACGCGGTTGCATGCAGAATGCTCAAACATTTCATTTTCTACCCCCTCGTTTACCCGCAAGATGATTTCGGCACATCTTGCACAGGTGGTTTCTATCGCAGGCGAAGCTAACTAGTTCAGATTTAATCATAGCCCAAACCGAAATTTTAAGGCAAATGCACTTTCTAAGTTATATGTCCTCGAAATTACGCGAAAAAAAGTATTCGTCGTTGATAAAATGTTCCACAATACAGTCAGTTTGGAATGTTGTGCCATTGCCGTGAGGTGCACTTAAATGGTTGGTTGTAGTGGCAGTGGCTGAGTGGGCAGATTTTGAGGTGGGAAGTTCGGATTCACGGCCGGAGGCGTAGTACCTTAAGACACGCAAAGCTCAAATGAATGCGATTTTCACTGGCGTTGATGTTGCAATCCTCCTGCCTGTCTACTATTTTAGTGGGCCCAGAGTCAAAGAAGTTGACGAATTTCACGAATGTGCTATCGCTTCCTGCCTCCAGAAACGTAATCAGAATGTGGCCTTTATCTTCGCTATCTTTGCCAACAAGACTCACTCGCACCCATCCTTAACGGCTGTTAAATAATTCCTGCAAATGTAACTTGAGCGAGAAAAGTTGAAGCAAAGAGGGAAGGTGTGAAAGCTACTGAACTAAGACCAATATTTTGTATTATATTAGTGTCAATTTTTAGGTGCAAATTTTCCGAATAAGAAGACGCTTGGTAGCAGATTTGTACAAACTTAGAACAGATTTCTCAGAGAATGCTAATAACAACCATCAACACATTAAGGATGCAACAAAATAGCAGGAAATTGAGTGGAAACTTGACATGACTTACCTGGAAATGGATTGTTTTGTCTAGTAAGTGTAAACATGTCCTCATTTTACAAATACAAACGCGACTTAATGCTTCCATAAACACAAATGCTTGCAAAGGCATTATTATGAAAATTTGTGTTATTTGTTTAATGCCGAACTCAATGCCAGACATTTAAACGGGCATTTGTCAGTTAGGTTAGGCAAATCACTAACCCATAGGGTGTGTAGTAAACTACAACGAACAACACGATTTTCGATTATGGTGCTTAGTGAAGGGTCTGATGGTGTGACGATCACGTAACTCACTGTGGTAAATGTTTGAGCTAAAGGGGGCAAAGAAGCCATGAGATGCTAAGACAGCCCCTACCAGGTATAATTTTTCAAATCACAAACGCAATTTTTATAGTGGAAGGATGAAGTAGAATTTCGCAGAAATAAATCACCTACGGAGGCAGGTAGAAACCATTTCCGGATCCTGGCCACCAACCTAAAATCAAAGCCCCTTCAGTTCATGGATTGCATGCAAACTTCGTAGCTGTCAGGCCCAAGATACAGGTCTCCTACTTAAAATAATTTACTCATCATTTATGCCTGAGAATGGTAGCACAATGTGCTGACTCGAGTGCAAGCGGAGGTAACGAATGGACTGTTTCACCTTGCATCAACTACTTCAATGTGGTAAATAGCGTTGCAAACGAGAGGGTAAAAGATGGTGAGAGTGAGTGTGAATGGTGAAGGAGCTGATGGCGCGACATGGGTAATACGAAGTCGGCGTCACTCACTCTGGTAAGCGTAGGGACTATAGGCGACAAAGAAGTAATGAGATGTTGAGTCAGTGCCAATCAGATAAAACTCCTAAATCACTTTTTGCTTTCTTAGAACAATCATGACATTTTCGATAAAAAAGGGAGAAAATTTAAACTGTGAGAAACAAATTGCTTACGGAGGCGGGTAGTAACCATATCTGTAACGAGGCCAACAATCTAAAAATAACGCTCGGTTAGTTGACGAATGTATAAGTATTTGCATTTGTACAGGCTAAGATGCATGTTTCCCACTCAAAATAATCACCTCGTCAAATGAACTCAGGAGTGGTAGCACAATGTACCAACTCATATGCAAGTTGCAGTAACAAATGGAGTGTTTCACCCTGCCTCAAGCAGTTGACTAATGCAAAAGTGTTGCAAAGGAGTGAGCAAAAGGAAGAGCATTGGCAAAGGAAGCAAGGGAGTACTCACACATGTCTCAGGTGATGGTATGAGAAAGTGAATAAGAAAATCGTGGATGGCAACCCACAGACTGTGGACCAGTGTCTGATGATTGGCTCATTGCAACCTTGGATGTACCAAAGCGTGCATCACAACCGTGTTTCAATCAACCTTCACTACGTAAACTCATAAAAGCGATTGACAATTGAGCTCCACCAGTTAACAAAATAAGCGTAGCTATGATGGACTCTAACCTTTTTTTTAGCCAACATGACGGATCTGCCGTATTGCCATGACACCGGAGATCTTCACTGTGGTCCAGGCACCATGAAGTCCATTGTGTAGTGATGCTGGCTACCGCAGTCGGATCTTGACTGAGCTCATTTAATAGCAGTACTGATGCTGAAAATTTCACCTCCTAACGTGTAACACGCCGAAAGCCAGGAATGATTACCAACGTGCTACAGAAGGACTGTGCAAACGTGCGTGCAAAGACATCAACGAGACACATGTCACGTACTCGAAACGATGTGAATCGGTACAGACCAAATGATTGGCGTGAATTAATATGCAATTAAACAAATAGTATTGCACCACGTAGAGGCTTAATCTTCCTTTCGGCTTCGTTACTAGCTTCTCCTTCACACAACACGATTTGTGTTAATGCATATGGACATAAATTTTGTGTATTCATGCGGCATGTGATAGAGCTGCAAATCGACAAGTTGACGAGTCAAACATAATGCCACAAGTTATGGATGGAAGGAATAAGAGGGACTTGATTGGAGACACCTTGAGTCCTCTCATTTGTAGTTGAATCATAGACAACTCACAGTCTACCTGTGACATGTTGAAAAGCATCCTGGTCGCGTGTGGGAAGAGTAGGAGGAGCTGACGACTAGTGGCGTTATGGTTGATAAAACTGCCACTTCGAACACATTGACATGCAATTTGGGTGTATAAACATGCTTTAACTTGAATTGGGTGGCCTCACGCAGCACTACTGCCATTCAAATCTTAGTCAAATTTGCATCCACGGACTAGCAAGGCAATTCTGGATTGAGGTTTATTTATTTGTGGAGCAGCTAAGAGCTGACCTACTAAGGACTGAATTGGCGACCGAACCATGAAGGCGGAAAAGGTGAAGTGAGCGCATTCGAGGGCTCTTGGCAAGATATTGTGGCATAACCATACTATATTTAGCAAGGTGTGTATGCTAGGGAGATGTGGTATTTTAAATATGGAAATAGGCCCAAAGCGAGTGCTTTCACAGGAAATGGAATTAGCGCATTGAGCAGTGCAGTGGAATCAGGAATCAGCAACAATATACCCACAGAAACGGTAACTCACGGAAATGGCATTGTTTGTGCATTTCTCGAATTGTCAATCAGACGAAATGACAGACAACGAGTTTTAATGCTCCGTAATTTATTACCAGTCTCCTTTGTTTTTTTGGATATGAACCACCCACACCGGTATCACGCTCTTCCCTTGTGGCACAAGTGATGCATGAATGCGTCATTATGAGGAACGTCAATTATCTACATCTGCGAGTTCGTTGACCAAGTGTTTACTGGGAGGAGGTTTTTACACACTTCTACCAGTGGGAGTCGGCTCAGCATTGAAAGTGAAGTCGTCCAATCAGATTGATTATAAAATACGAAAAAGGCGACTGGCATCACCTAGTGTGGTAATGATGGAGAGTTTCACTTGCCTTCCAGCGCCTAGATTTTCCATCTGATTCGTCGGCAAAGGCTATTGGGAGACGGTTGCATTTGCGCTAGAAGGCGAAGGAGATTTCCAGTGCATCTCAGTCTAAACGGTTATGGAGAGACATGTTGGCAAATTTGTGTCATCGTCATGGGTTTTTCTTGCACAGCTGCTCAAAATTACCAAACAGTGTGTGCGATTCTACAGTGTTATGACTGCTCACACCTACACAAACGGCAAGAGCAGACTCACATGGCGTATGTGGCTCTACAACCCAAGCATTCTGGCCATCAGAATGACAATTCGTACATTTAACAACGTCCGATTAACTGCGCAGCTCATCCCCTAACATTAATGATGAATTCTGCCCTCCTTCGTTGAATGCCACTAAAGGTCTAAAGCACACTGCGATTCCTCGTAGCTACTCCTGCTACAATTTGCCCATTAAACAGGTTGGAAGAACCCAAGTAGAATATGACGAATATGACTAACCATAATTTTGTAGTTAATATTGCAAACAATTCCAGATGAGAATAAATGTCGCTGAAATGCAGTGTTTTGTCATTCAATTATTTATTGTGCCTAAAAACACAACATCTGCTTAACACAGTACTCATTGATAACAAATGCTTCTAGCTTCCCATGCAAATGGGCATTTGAGGCTGCAAGTGTCACTCCTCCATGCAACATCCTTGTCGTGACGCCTTACCTGTAATTACGAATGTGCGGAGATTCACCTTTCATCTAGCTTAAGACACGAGTGGTCAGCGCGTGACTTGATTTAAAGCTGTCCTAATGGGAGCGAAACTTGGGAATTCAAACACACGTCTGGATCCGCGAGTTCCTCTGTTAATATTTCAACACTGTTTACGAAATCAGCTATCATGTTTCGGTATTTAGGCACCATTACTATCTTCGAGGTGTGTTGGCAGGTGATTACAAAACACACGATTGTGTTTGATGGCCGAAAGAATAAGCGTTGCCAAGAGGAGCACCAGTGAAGGAGCACAGTAAGAGAAGAAGGTGCATATTTATTTTATTTACGCCAGCCATTTGGCTTCTGTGGACTGGACATCATTTGGTGCACAAGACGTACGTCCCTAGGTACTACATTTATGAGCCCTCTTTCCCACAGATGTGTTTATCTAATCACGGTTCAAGTATTAACATTAAAGACATTGGCGGCAGCATCAGTGGCAAAATTCGTCAACATGTCAAAATGCGAAATCCTCAGCATTTATTTCAGCGCACTTGCATATTGCTAAATAGCAGTGGGTTTTCGGTTTTAAACATTATCATCGTAAATGGGGCCCAGTCATGGTCAGACTGGCGTAGCAAGCATCACTGCATAGCAGGCATTGTCAACTAAATCAGGCCAATTCCTGCTCGCGTTCACAGCCTCACATTGAGAGGATGATTAAAGCACAGGATCATTACATGGTTTGGTGCACACTTGGTGGAAATTAGCCAATCATTAGTCACTGGTCTGCGGTCTGTGAGTTGGAATACAAGATCGCCTTTTCATTTACGCGCGCGATCACCTGAAACATGTGTGAGTACTCGTTTGCTGCCTTCCTTGATGTCGCTTCTCCTACTCACTCATTCGCCGTTCTTCCTATATAGTACTATGTTTTGGCGAGGTGCCTTGTGCTATCCTTATTAAGATCAGGCAATTGACTAATTATTTTGAATTGAAAACTTGCCCACGATTCACCAACTTACCGTACATTTCTTCAGATTGCCGACCACTGTATGGGTATGGTTACTACCCGCCTCCGTGAGCAATTTCTTTCTCTCAATTCAGCTTTCTTTGTTGCATCTGAAATGCCATGTTTACTCTAGTAGAGTAGAAGCTGCTTTGACTGTAATTACCTGATCTGCACTGCTTCAGTGTCTCTGCTTCTTTTCCTCTTGTAGCAGGAACATTTACTACAGTGAGTGGTGATTATTTCATTCATATCTGTGCATTTCACTGGGTTGACACAAAAGTGAATTGTTTTAAAAAGCGTTAGCAAACTTGTGCTTCTCTTCCTCTGCAGTTCATCATCTGCCTTATGCGTATGTTGTGTCTTTAAATTTCCAAGCAATTCGAATCTAATTTATGCACCACAAATGACTTTCATACCTGCATTCAAACTGTTGTCTGTGTATTATGAATTTGACTGCATTGTTACACACTAAGTAGGCCTTGAATATTGGTTAGGCCACAACGTGTTCCAGGTACGTCACTTTTGCATTTCACCAATATTACCCACTGCATTTTCCACACTCCCGACTTACTGCTGATGCTACTCAACATGATTCGATGCAGTACTTTATTTAGAATGCAGTTCCTAGTGCAAAACTCGCATACTCAACCTCTTTTCCTAGACTCTCTTCTTCAATCAACTGTGTGGCACCTTAATTAATCATCACCATTGCCAGTGTGAATGCATCCAACGGCTTAATTGGTGTAGATGAGGACCACATTTTAACAACATATTTGGGCACACTGGAACGATCTACACATTCGCTTGTTAACTACTTTGACCTTCGGCCCACACGCCATTCCAGAAGCAGGTGGAAGGCAAAAATGACTCCCACGCGAATAATTCTTTGTGGGCTAGGGCGGTTATAAAGGCATGAAGAGCGTCTCTATCTATTATGATAAGGAAATGCAAGCCTCCTTAGGTCAAGCAAATGGAGATCAAAGAGCACTGCTGTAACCTACCACCTCGACCTACCGACTAAACAGTAACTGATATCAACTTACATTAGCTAGACATTTATGTATTTACCTAAACATTTTCTTAAAGGCAGCACTGGGCCGCAGGACGACTCCAACAATTTTGCAGTCGGACCGGATATACCACCACTTGACAACAACACTGCTCTTCGTCCAACCCTGCCGCCCCAACCAAAGCTGCCGTAGTGTGCGCCCCTTGAAAAACAACACTAAACTGACTTCGTGATCAGACATTTCATCTACAATGAAATATTTCCTCTAGTGTGCACAAGACTGAATATCCCAGAATTTGCATTCAACTGAATCTGGGTTTGGGATAGTGATGAACTTTGACTAAACGAGTTAAAAGTTGAAAAATTTTGAAGCTTTGCACGATCACCTACATTCCATTTAGGGAGAAATAAGAAATTAACACTTCCTAACTTGACCTCAATGTAAAATAACACAAACTGCGTCGACTTTGTGCATCATGCTACCAATGCTTCAAGAAAACATATCATTGGGCGTCAAAGCAAGGAAATACACTAAACTGATCAAGTTTGTAGCCACTTGTTTTGATCTACTTCTTGGCTTGAATCGGCGCAAGCATAAGGCAACCCCTTTCTGCGGTTTGATTATAGCAGGGCATTTGGGAGCCGACTGGCTGAAGGATGTAGTGATGACTGAGCCACGGAGGCTGAAATGCTTATTTAGCTCTCCACAGGGGTGATGCCAATTCCATTTCACCACACTGCAGTTCATTCACTTGTTCATATATAGAAAGAAATGAAATGCGCCAATTCGAGGCCATCTATGAAGAACTTGTTGGGTGACCATACGATCTTAACAAAGTGCATGTGTGGAATTTATAAATGATTGCAGCTTACATGTTGGAGAGTTTAGTGTGTATGGGAAATAGGATGGTTGCACTAACAGGAGCAATGAAATCACGCGAGGAGCATTGTTTGTGCCATTCACGAATTGTCAATCATATGAAATGGCAAACAACGCGTTTGAATGATCCGTCAGCTACTACAAGCTTACATTGTTTTTCTCAGAATGTGCAACACCCACACCACTTTTTCGCTTTTCTCTTGCAGCACAATGTGTAATTGCACCATTAGGGAGTGCATGATTTCACCCACAGATGCGAATTTGTTAACTGTGTGTTAACCGGAGTTCAAGCTTCTTACACACTCATTAGACAGGGACAACTAAAAGACACTTGAATTTAATGCAGCATGCCAGACAAAGTGGCGACGTAGCTTGAGCAGTTTTGTGAGGAAAATAAGGCTTTAATTGTTGTCTTCTACCTAAATTCTTTTCGTAATTTCATCACCAAGATCAGCTGGGTGCCATATGCAGCCACGTTTAAAGCGAAAATTATGTCTGCTTTCCATGGTTTGAAGACGTTTGGCGTGTCACTATGACGCTAACATTAAAGACATGGGTTCTAGCGTCAGTGGTGAAATTCTGGTACTATGTCCTCATGTGAAACCCTTGGCATTGCTTGTGCTTTTAATGAGTTGTCGATCAAATGAAATGGCAAACAATGTGTTTGAACGATCCGTCAACCGTCATGAAGTTACGTTGTTTTATTTGCTAATGAAGCACCCACACTGGTTCTCGCTTCTCTCCTTTAACACAAGCAATGCATGCATTCATTAGCACGAGTACCTTCACTTCTTTTCATCTACATCAAGACATTTGTTGACAGGTTGTGTACTGGAGGGCAAACTTGTTACTCGTTTGTACGAAGGGACAACCAAACCACATTGGAATTGAAGCCAGCTTCTCAAATTAACTACCATGGAGGATTGTGCACCTCAAATTGCGTAGTTTACCTGCAAACTAGATCTTCCTCCGTCTTAGAACACCCGAGCCTTCCTTTTGATTCATGGAGAAGATCCATTGGATGGCAATTACAGACAGGCTTAAATGCGAAAATTGTGTCAGCATATTGTGTCTTCCGAACAGACCGATTTAACTCAGTCACACGAATCTTCTGTGAGGGTTACGCTTAATCTCCCGAAAACAAGCAGGATGGCAGAAGTGATGCAGATTTCTCCTCTTCAAAATGAAATGAACTCACCATCATTGCCGACCAATGAATGCAGACTCCGCCTCCACAATTCAGATGACACAACATCCAGTTGCGACATTAGAGCTGTCGTGTATACACCGATTCCACCACCGTGATCATTCATACCTGCCACGCAGTTGCAGTGACTGTGCAGTCAGGCAATACGATTAATTGCGCTGACGAGCATCGGAATTATCAGGCATCTCAAGCATGCGAAGACAAACAGCCACCCATGATGATGTGGGACAGTTGTTAATTAATTAACTACGAAGTTTTCGATGCAACTGTTCATGACGAGTGACTATGCTGGAAACAATAACTGGCATCCAATCAAGCCTCACATGACCATCAGTGCAACAGGTGCCTCTTCCATGGCTGGTTTATATTCGTATGCCCTATGCCAGAGAAGGAAAAGAAGAAAGTGGATGTAAATTTAAGACTGCGACTTGCAGTATCCATTGAGGTGCAAGCAATGGCTATGATTTAATTTATGAAGTGTAGCGGCCATTAGAGGCATTCCACATGCGCCAAGACGAATGACAGTTGTTCGAATATAGGTCAGGGCATATCCACATGCAGCATTTTCCATTGGGAGATCATTGACTCAGTCGTTAGGATTCTTCTTTAGTAAATTGTTCGTGGAAGATTTATGCGCATAAACAATTTTGGATGTTAAGAATATAGGGAGAGCCTTGCTCATGGAAAAGTAACTAGACAGCGTAGGAGGCGTGGAACGCTTTTTTTAGTGTTTTTTTTTCTATAGCCCATTAGTTGGGTTAATTGGGTGCTTCTAACTGTCTACTTCGATATAAAAGATGATCCGTCCTGCATTGTTTTATAGTGTGCTGTGAAGGACAGCTAGCAGACTGGTGGCAGTCGTAATGCGTTCATTGATAAAGAACAACTTTGAAGGGCATGTTCCGCAGTACAGTCTACTTATTAGTATACAGTAGTCCTTGTCTGTGCCGAAACGCAACATTTGATGAGATCAATTCAGCTTCTCGTAGGCACTCTGATTTTCTGATAAATAATCGAGCAGCATAGGATATTTTGATCACAATTCTAATTCTCTAATCAAAATTGATATAACCGAAATTGCTTAAAGTAGAACAAGTAAAGTGCTCTCTTTGTTAATGAGTTTCCTTATTTCGTTAAAAGATGTTGTCTGAATACATCCAGACCTAGATACACATTTGCCTACAGGTTAACCTTTATCCCAGTTTGAATGGAAAGTAAAAATGGCAGGGTTCATGTTCACTCATGTATTCAAGTTAAAATGATTGGTGAATAGAGAGAGGTTTAGAATTCCAAAGAGCTGTACTACGTGGCACGTGTACTCAGAAAGCAATGGACTCTCATCACTGAGGCCTATTTGCGTTAACAACCAATAAGTAAGATCCCCATCCATTCGGTCTGCTTGAATCAGGGGAACGAAGGCTGTGATGCAGAAATAGCTGCTGAAGCCATTACACAATGGACAGCTTCGCTGATATCGCCTTTTTATGGACGACGTTAAGTAAAAAGGTGGCTTTCAAAAGCTAGCTTTAACCCCCATTTGCACTTACACCTTTAAAGATCCACTTGGCTTGTAAGAGCTCTCACTCGGGAAATATTTTGGGCCCATGGTAGTGGTAGAGATATTTCTACACACAAAATAATTCTTCCACTAATCGCCTCTGATCAGGCAAGCCCGATGTGTAAACGTCTAGTTTAGTCACGGAGTTCGCCCACCCATTATATTTATGATGCTCGATGGAAGAAATACCACATCCTACAGCTTGCTAATCAAGTTTTCAACGAAGAACCGTCACGATTTGCAACAAGCAGCCAAACTTCAATCCTTGTCTCCCCTGATTTCTTCCTAACGGCTGTTACTCGTTCTTTTGAGCTCGAGGAAAATTCTCAGCCCGTCAGTGCTCCTATCTTCTAGACTCTGGCGTGGCTACATCAGCACCTAACCTTAGGCCAATGTCAAGTCTAAATTAAATAACAGGTATCGAGTCACTTTTGGGCAGAGTACGTTAAGCAGACTTACTGGAGGTGGACAGATGTCGTTAAATGTAAATATAGACAAGGAAACGTGAGCAATGAAATTTGTTATGCGCATAGGTCTGACTTATATGGAATTGTTAAAACCACTTTTCTTGTGGCCAACTTTACCTATAACGTTAAAGCAGTCCCGAGTTTTGCAGATAGCACTTCCTAACTCATCAAGATAATGAAGCGATGACAGCTCATCCACAACTGATGGAATGCATCAGCAATACTTGCAATTTCCTGCTTGAAGGTGCAGATGTATTCGTAAACATTCTAGATGACCTCTAAGCACAGCTTACTTTTGCCCCGCACGTGGATAGTAGATGCATACAGGAATCAGTGAATGAGTGCTGGACTATGGCTTTCTGTCAAAAGGATAGACTAAGAAGTACAAACATTATGAAGCATGACCGATCTGGCCGCCATCCAGCATTCACCACCTTCTTAGTCAGAAGAAAGTATTGAAGACGCAGTTATGGTGCCATCGCAGTGGCCATGCACCCCATCCAGTGCTGCAATGAATAAAGATGAAAGTCTTTGACTGCGTCCAGATAGACGAGATGGCTGTGCAATATACGCTGCCTTGCCTCACCGTTATGGCTAGAGGCAGTTAGAGAACTCGAATCTCGTCATGGGACGGACGCCATCCATCCCTGAGTAGCCAGACGTGCACTTGTGACAGGAACAACCCTCATCACTGCAGTCTGTTTATGATGCTGACCATTTGGGAATGTCCTTATCTAGGAGAATGGAGGTCGAATTGTGGGAAGTGAATGCCAAACCCATTGTAAATATCAAACTTGGATAATTATTTAACGCAATGCTAATCCCGATTCCATTTTGCCAATACAATTACTGCAGATCTTAACATCTGCTACGGTGCCTAAAACTTTTGCCTCCCACAGAAAATATGTGAGAATATTCCTTATACTGCATAGCCAAATTGAAGCGGTAACCTTTAACTTTTGCCTTGGATGAGTTGGAAGCACAAAAGTTGCTAGGACAACAAATTGACTTGATAAGGTCACCGCAAATGTCACCTAGAGACCATCACGGATAAACACGTTTTACGAGCAAACATTAGGGC